CTCCATCTGGCAGAATGAAGATAAAACATTTTTCTGTACGATGATTATAGAACAAAATGTTGAATGGTGATTCCATTGCGTGTCAATAAGTTCTAGTATTCGTGTACAAATTCTGTACTGGTAGGTGTATGCTGGTGAAATGAAGAAATGAATTATTGAGTATTGTGTAAGAATATAAAGCCAGGAAAATTAAAAAAAAAAAAACTGCCACAAAGGATTGACTAAAAAAAAAAAACAAACAACTCGTATCACGATGTCTCAGATGATAGTTGGAAGGACACCTTGCCATAATTTCTGTATTGAGCTGTCATATTAGCTGACTGAGGACTGGCAAATCACCTCGTCTGTCAGTGCTGCACTGGTAATAACTGTAACAAGATTTATGATGGACTGTAATGTCTTTTCTATGGTACTTGCCCTCCCATCTTTTAGTTCTTTATGAGCACAATTTAAGTTTGAAAGAGAGAGAGAGAGAGAGAGAGAGAGTTGAGGGGGGGAGGAAGAGGGTACAGGAGGGAGTGGGTTACACAGTGGTCCAGGTTGGTCTTCCTGTGAAAAATTTCTGTCTGAGTGTCAGTTTTAATTAAAATTTAAATGGGTGTGTCGCAATACAATAATACTCATGAGTGATTTCAACGACCTATCTTCATGTTAATCAGTGGGTGTCACTGTATCTGAGGCAGGGGTCATTCATCTATCAAAGATGATCTGCTGTCACCTGTGACATCACAGGGTCCCCTCCCCCACCCCCACCCCTCAGCATTACAGTGTGCTGCCTAATCTGATACCTTGGTTTTGGCTTCTTGTGTGAGAAATCTGCAGCTGTGGCAAAGCTGAGCATACTAGTACATGTATGCATACTGTATTACTTGCATTTAGACATTCATGGAATTGGTCATTGATAGCAATTAATCATAATGCTGCCAATAATCATTCAGACTAGTGGTGATTGTCTTGAATACCAGTGGTCATTACCTTGCAGCAGGTTTTTAAAGGTGTGTTAATGGGCCAGGCCTGGTGGATGATGGTCACTCATCTTTTGGACAGCTCATTATTACTGTGATCAAAGAGGACAGAGAGAGAGAGAGAGAGAGAGATGGGGAAATGATGCCAATTTCAAGTTCACATTTCCTGTTGACATGTATGTATATCATACCCAACTGTTATGTTTCTAATGATGCTGTCCTTCCACTGAGATTAAGACCCTGTTCCCACAGATTTTATATTGATCTATCCCTGTGGGGAGTCTTACTAGATTACTGTCAGCTTAGCCGGCTTAAGCATCTGTCCCGCCTATTTAAAGCTGTAAGTAGGTAATTAACTGATATCAATTTAGCATGAACCCCCAGGGAGTTAGGTCGATCTAGATGGATTGATCTAAATCTATGGAAATGCACTCTTAGGGCCCATTCCCAATGAACCAGCCGTTCAATGTAAATCAATCTACTAGTACTTAACTCTGCAGGGTCTCTTGCTGAATGCATTCAGTTTAAAAGATTTGCAAGCCTCCTCTTGTTTCTAACATAATTTTATAATTCCCAGCTTTTTCTGTATTCCTGTATTCTGCTCAATGTCCAGAGAGGGGGGAGGCTATCCTGCAACTAAATCAAAGCAGGGAACGGCATTATGCAACAGTAACCTTGTTTGATCTGGGCTTGCATGTTGTTGAGTTTGTATTTGCAAAGTAGGAAAAGCTTCCACAAATATTGAAGTGTAATGCTTTTATTTCCCACTTCAGTGTAGACAGGTGCTGTGACCTGATATGGATGGGTGCCATCTATGTGGTGTTTTAATGTAATAACTAGAGACTTATTGATGGCATTTCTTGCACTCTGCTGCGAGGCAGATTCATAATTGGGTTTTGAGCAGAGAGAGAGGAAGGAGAGAGAGAGAGAGAGAGAGAGATGTGGTATTTGGGAATTACCACAAATGCATCATTTGTAAAGATGTTGGGTTTGTTTCTTTTAAGGATTTTAAGCAAGATTTAATTTTAGTGTTTTCACATATTTCCAAATTAGTAATAAATTAATGTAAGTTTATACTTTTTTATATGCTTTTTTCGTTTTAAAGGAAAAAAGGGAATTTGGCAAAAGACTCGGAAAATGACACCAAAATTGTAGTAAAAACATTTCACTTTCTGATTGAAGTGTCTTAAGACGTGGATGAATTCTTNGGGGGGGGGGGATGTTTAAAGTTATTTTATTAAAACAACAATTTTCTTTGCAGATAGTCTTTCAATTTTTAAAATCTTACAAGTTATGTACCAAACAACTTGCTCTGGTTACCATTTTGGCTGTGGTTCCAGCACTGTCAACAGACAGTGATGGTAATATGACTGTGCATATGCATCATAAGTTGTTAAACACTTCAGGAGCCAACATCCTTGTGGACAGTACGGGAAAGCGTGTGAGGATAGCAGACTTTGGTGCCAGTGCCAGGCTGGCTACAAGGTCCACAGGAGCAGGAGAGTTCCAGGGACAGCTACTGGGCACCATTGCTTTCATGGCCCCAGAGGTAGGGTGTGAAACAAAAGTTGTGTTTGTACAGCCAGTAAAATTGATGTTGTGTGGATAATATTTTGTAAATTCATTAAGTTTCTGGGCACTGTTTTTACCTTGGCCCAGTTGATTAGTAGCATTAGAAGTGAAAAGGCTTGTGTTTACAGTTATAGTAAAGATGACGATGATTTTGGTCGTGGTAGTGGTATTTAGGACAGAAGTCTAACGTGGCTGATCCTCACCACCCTGGCATCAAAGAGGAGAAATATGGCAGTAAATGTGAGATAAACCAATTCTAATATATACACGTTACTCACCCTATGTATATAAATATTTCAGGTGTTACGTGGTGAAAGCTATGGCCGGAGCTGTGATGTCTGGAGTGTGGGCTGCTGCATGGTAGAAATGTGCACTGGCCAGCCACCCTGGGGATCCAAGGCTGTGTCCAATCACCTGGCTCTCATATTTAAGGTCAGTGATGTTGAATAGAATACTCCAACTTTACAATCCCATTAACAATTTCTGCAGTGAAACATTAAGTAATAAGAGGACTTTTATGCCAGTTATGTGCATGTATCCTGCAGTAACTGGGGAGAAACATTCAGCATTTCCATTATAGATTGAGGTTTATCCAAATCCAAATTCTTGACAAACCTCATTCTAACTGTGCCAGTCTTACTTTACTGCCACATGCAGAAGTCCTTTGGCATTGCATGTTTTATTCAACTTTGTATAAAGTGCAATTTTATTCCTAGCTCCAAACCAAAGTTGGTATTTTGTATTGAATCTAGACTGGATAAAATTACCCAGCTGCTCTGGAGTAGGTTTGTCAATTAAACAAACATACAAACAATAAAATAACTGAAATTCAAATTGATGTTGTAAAAGGAGATAATTCAACCGTACCAAAATAGGTTTTTTGTTAAACTGTTATAATGACCTAAGCTGTTGATTTTATTTCAGATTGCAACATCGACAGAACCCCCACCCATTCCAGAAAACCTTTCGCCAGGAGTGCGAGATCTCATGCTACGCTGTCTTGAACAAAAATCAGAGGACAGACCATCGGCCAAAGAACTTTTGCAACATCCCCTTTTCATCCACTATCACAACTTCAAAAGTTCCGTTCCAAGGATGTAAAGCTTTCCAATTCAAATATGTAAACAGTCGGCTACATCATTCCATGAAACTAATTGCCTTTAATCAAATTTATGAGTATTTGTAGTCTGACAGATGAAGAAAATGAAATATTTTCATGACATGATTTTTTAAATTGTTCCTTTTTAATGGAACAGGTCACAAGAAAATATTTATAATTGTAATGATCATCTTGATGATGATAGAGTGAAAGTAATTTTTAAAACTTGTTGCACAAGGTATCTTATGGTATAATTTGACTGCTGTGGTCAATTTTTGTTCCTTTTTTTAAACATTTTTCCAGAAATTTAGAATATTTTAGGAGTGATTGAGATGTTTTAGTGATTTTTATTACTATATATCCCATCAAAAAGAAATTTATAATGTTAGAACTTACAAGTCACAAGAACATTGTTTTTTTTTTCTTTTGGTTTTATTGACTATCATTTTGTATTGTATACTTTCTCTGTTGGAGAGGGTTATATTGAACCAGTGGCATCAGGTAATATTATTACCTATTACTTAAATGTTTGATTGGCATCAGTCATTTTAACAGACATTTTGTTTGTACATTTTAGGATCATTGTCTGTTACCTTTTTCTTTTTTATTGAAGTCGCAAAATAACGTGAACCCTTTCCTCTTAAATTATTCAGATATTCTGCAGAAATAGTTTTTAGTTGTACAGGTGTTGTTATAATAATTATTATGTTGGCAAGCTGTTGTATGGATACAAAATTACTTTTTCAAAAACAGTGCCTTGTTTATTATTTGATATCTTTTAAATTTATTCAAGAGTAAAAGTGAAAACTGGTGCCAAAATTTACTGACATTTATAAATCTGTGTTCAACTGCATTCTTAATACAGAAAACAGAAATATATTCCGTAAGTAGTAAGCTTTGAACATAAACCACAGTCTTGAGTTAAAGGAATTAAAATACATATTAAGTTCTCTCATGTACAGGGTAGATGTGCCAGTAAGTCTATCGATAATTGTATACTGAAATATTCAATAGCATAATAAGCAAAATGAGCAAGAAGCGTAAATCAGTATAAATTGCATTTAATTAAAATGATATTCAACCAGTTTGTATTATCAGAATATTTTTCTATGGTAGCTAGTTCAACTGAACCCTTATGTATGAAGTAAGATGTATAGTATGGCAATAAAAACAGGCCAAAGTTGGAACAGGTCAAACACATAATAAAATTATTAATTGATAGTGAGGTGTTCACTTTTTAATGGTTGTTTTGAATTTCTTCATGTATAATTACTTTCACAAAAAAAAAAAAAAAAAAAATAATAATAATAATAAATAATTATAATAAAAATAATAATAATAAAAAAATAAACATTTGCAGACAATTAAAATGAAATATTGTTTATTTATGGAACCTACACATATATAGGACATTGTACACATTGTGCAACAATAAAAAGTAGAGTTAAAATAAGAACCCTCTAATTTATTTACCAGGTGCTATTAAGCTATACGTTTTACACCAACATGGTATTTAAATATGTAGTAAAAACGAGTTACAAACAACAGGCTTTAATATTTAAACATAAATACTAAAACATCTAAAACGGAGGTAAACTTCACTGACCAAGAGTATAACATAGCAAAGATGTTAATGGGTCTGGTTTTCTAAAACTAAGACAAACTAAGATCATGTTAAAAACTAATCTAAAGCACTACAACAAGTCACAAACACATTGCTTAGCAAAAAATGGGGGCATTTTTTTCTCAGACGCAAAGTAATGAATTATACATCAAATGAAAAACCCAATCCTTCTCACTTAGACCAATTTCCAACATTATCATTGTTCAAAACGAAGCAGTGTCAAATTTTGCCTTCCAAAGAATGTCCTACAGTTTACAAGAATTGCTCAAGTGTAAATGTTAAATGCCAGCAGAGGATCACTTGTTGGTCTTTTCAAAGTAAGTCTGGCTTCCTTTAGGATCTGGCTTCATGGTGTCTGCACCTGGTCTCCAACCAGCAGGGCACACTGAAATGAATAACGATATGTTAAAATTGCATTTAAATATTGTGTAAAAATAAAATACATATATAAATTTTAAAAACTTCGAAATGATAATTTAAGGCTTTTTTTTCTTTTTGTAATTTTATCAAGTTTAAAATATTATAGAAATAATGAATATTTTGGGAAATTATGGACCGAGGTCTGGCTGACACAATCTGTTACCAATTAATAAGCATGTCACCTTCATAAGGGGCTATTTTATACTCTACTTCTAACAGCCGAAAGTAATTTTACTTGACAAGAAACCCTTGGACAAGAAAAGTAGAAAGCATGAAGTTGCTACATGAAAAATAAATATTGGAATATTACCTTCTCCATGCTTGTCTGTGAACTGGAAAGCCTGAACAAGCCTGAGTGTCTCATCCACTGAACGTCCAACAGGGAGGTCATTGACTGTGACTTGACGCAATATTCCTTGACCATCAATTATAAATAGACCCCTAGATTCAGAAACAAAAATGTGTAAGGAATGCACATCACTGCTTTCAGGTCTTTCAATACGCGTACAATATATACACCCATGCATTCTCTTCTTAAGCACACATTTTTATACATGCTTGCTTTTGGCCTCTGAACACTAGCAGCACGCACCTTATTAAAACAAACAGAACCAATCATGTGTGATATTTCACATGAAATTTCATGTAACCATAAAATTGGACAGACTGAAACCTGTTAGTGATTGGTGCAATAAACTTCATTCATTCTAGTCTAGCTGTGGAAGGTATATTATACTCATCTTAAAATCCCTCTCATCCCACTATATTATTTTCTAAGAAATGATATAAAACTGTTAAACATTAAATCTTTAACTGCATGGTTGGGTTGAGCAATGATTCTTGAAAAAGATGAAATTGCTTTTCTCTCCATAAAAATTAAGACTTCTCACTAAAATCCCAGTCAGGATACTTTTTACTGTTGCAGTCCAATAAACGTGCACATATGGAGATAAGAAAATGAAACAGCTGGCACAAAACTGATCAGAAGCTCAGGATAATGTTCTCCCAGAGCACAAACAACATAGCTGCAGGTTTAAGTGTATGACTGCTTCATTAACTGATGGGAAAGTTCACACTTTGATGATAAAATCACTCAAAGAAATTGCTAGTTCATACCTGAAGGTTACACCATCCTCTTCTTTAAGAACACCATAAGCTTTTGCAATTTCCATGGTCTTGTCTGCAAGCAGTGGGATTTTCATCTGACCGAGTCCACCCTTTTTCCTGGGGGTGTTGACCCTGTTAATTAGAAGATGTTATTATGCTTATTATCATGATTATGCTTATTATCATGATGTGGTAATACTTTATATAGGCTGTACAATTCTAAGTGGGGATTTACTCATATATAAATAGTAGGATTTTCTAGATCTTACTACAAAATTAAACTGACCTATTCAAAGTAAAACATTGTCTCCAATATAAAGATTCTTATCAAAATATCAGGTCATGCGGTCATGATATCATAAATAAACCATTTCTTTATCAAAAGTTTAGTCAAGTTGCATTTTATAAAATATTATAATAGTAATTACAATGATAACATTATTGCTTTCATGCTGAATTTTTCAGATTTTTGAAAAATGATTCCCTTAAAATATTGGTAAAACAGATCAAAATTTTTAGAGTGTATACTTGCCACATGCCTGAGTACTGTTGACACAATTTTAAAAAAGTAATGTTAGGTTCCCATTAAAGCACTGGATAATATCCGTGTTGAGTGGAATGATATCTAAGTTCAACAATGCTGGGGCATGGGGCATAGAATATCTGTATGTTAAATACCAGGTAACCTGTAACATTAGCTATTTTGTTGACATTCAATTTTTTTCAAATCGTTCCAAGCATAAATGTCACTGAGCTGGGGAGGGGATTTTGAAAGAAATTATTGACATCAGAACGGTTTACACAACAATCTGTGACTTCTAATACATCACTGCTTGAATACCAACACCTGAGGCTTCAAATCCTGTTTTGTCAGATTTCTTGTATAAATGTCAATCACATAAAAAAAGTAATGGATGGACAAGTTTTAAGAAATGTCTAATTTCTTAAAAACATGCACTTTGCAATGTGATTTATTGAATGTTTAATATATATTTTTAATTTTTACATTATATCATTTTTTTGCTGGAAATCACTTCTAATTCCAACTTTTCACACTGTCCATGTAGTCCTACTCAGAATACTATCTACTGAAGCGAATGTCTGTGATTTGCAGGGAAGGCTAATACCAGAGTTCTTCCCAAACCACCAGTCCATTTTAGCTAGATGAAGAAGGGGGCAGCCCCCTCCAAACCTTTTACTGTTAATTGATCGAACCTGTATATAATTTGCATCATTTTGCCCTTTTGTATAATATGTGTGGGAATAAAACCACTAAGCCACTAGGCAGCATAGAGACACAATCCCTGACATACACTTTGGTGACCTGATTGTTGGAGCCCTGACCTTGTCCAATGTCAAACACCTTGTGGAAATGCTAACCACCAAAGAGGTACCTGCTATTTTTCCAAATTACTATTATCCAATGGCAAATTGTTTTATGCCTAAAGAGAAAATGCTTAGTAAAAAAAAAGATCTATCCTATTCAAGTCGAAGGTGACCCTGAACATACCAAATGGGGAAAAAATGCTTTAAAAAATCCATTCAATGGTTGAAGATCAAGACAGAACATGCCATTGCATAAACAAACACGTAAAAACAGTTATCTTGAACAACCCAAAGATTTGTCTCCTTTAAGTACTTACCAGGCAAGATGACTAAAATGGCTATCTGTAGAGCAAGCGACTACCTCACAGCCAATTGATCGAAACTCTTCTGAACGATCGCTGAAGGCAATGATTTCTGTTGGACACACAAATGTGCTAAAAAAAAATGAAAGAATCACAATTAAAAGAATCACAATTACACTTTGAAATCTAGATCCACATTCAGTGTTAATGCTGTTTTCTTTTTATTTCATCTTTGATAATTTTGTCACATAAAATCAAATGGGTAATTTTCCCCAACAAATGACACATCTGCTTTTTTTTATTATCCCACAATGAAGTGATTTACCTGCATTATGGAAAAAATATACAGACAGACAAATAAAAGAGCCATCTTATCAAGGCATGGAAGGCTCCTCAGTTTCATAAGGTAATCTTCAACAGGAGGATGTTACATACACCAAGCAGACAATTTATTCTCACATCTCCTCAGATATATATTCAATATTATTAATTAATAATATCACTTCTAATCATGACATCCTGTCCAGTTTGTATCACCTGAGAAGAAACATTATGAAGATAATGTCCATACGGGGGCATTGAGAACTGCCTGATAATCAGATTGGTAAACCTTCTTCTAGGTTATCAAACTGCCTGTCATGATTAGACTCAATTCCTGGAAGATCCATTATTAGACCAAAAGGACAGGAAATGAATGGACCACTTATTTCAATAGATCTCAATATAAAGAGAAAGAATCTGTATGGACAAAGAATCTGTAGAATCTGAACAAATTAAAGAAAACACTTTTTCTAGCTAAATGGTAACATTACAGAGGTTGAACAAAAGTCTGGAAAATGTATCTATTTAATCATTCATTGGTTTCTATCTAAAATCAATTCCTAATGAATACAGAAAATATCTAAGACTTGCTCTACTTTTTATCATATTTTAATCACAACAATTCACACATAAATTCATACTTACAAATCCAGGGGATAGAAAAAGAAGACTAGGTATTTTCCTCTGTAGTCATCCAGCTTCACGGTCTTGAAGTCTCCATCGATCACAGCCGTACCAGAGAAGTTTGGTGCTGGCTTGCCGATCCTCAGTCCTTCTTTGGTTGACGTCATATTGGCACTTTGGCTGGAACTTGGTGTCCTCTAAAAGATAGAAATCAATTATGACAATTACAAATCGTGTCAAATATATAGATAAAGTGGTCTCAAATGCTTGCATGACAAATTTCACCAATGATGTACTCATGTTGGATAAGACTAACAGTGAAAAATAAACCCGTTTCTTTAAGAAAAACAGGACTTGTTTGGAAAAAAAATTTATCATAACACAAAATACACAAAATGCCAGAACAAAATCCCAAAACATTATTCCTTAGCTTACCCTGCTCAAATGGCACGACTATATTATATAGCACAGTTCATTTAGAAGACACAACACACACTATAATTGTTGTAATTACAACAGCATACAACAGGTGTTACCATACAGCATAACTACCAGTATAGATCTAAATAATGCAAAAACAATTAAGAGCTCACACAAAGTCATTTTGATGCTATTCATCAATTTGTGAGAAATATACAACCTTGACCCAACTGTTATCTTGGCGTTCCCATGCCATTTTGCAGCCCTTGTATATATATATATATCACCAGGAAAATTTTTTTAAAATTCTTTCACGAGATAACTGTCAAACAAATTGTCCTGTGTGCCATGAATATTTAAGGACAGACCGGCTTTATAAGCTCTAGTTGATAATCAACCCATCATGACAGCTTTATAGATATACTGGATATGGAGACATGTCTGCAAATATTGACATTTCAAAACGTCCACCTGGTATTACAACGTAAAGCAATGTATTTCAAATACCAACCTTATCTTAAGACATACAAAGCATCTAGCTGTAACGTCTTCTTTATTTGCACCTATATAATGCATAACACAACACAATCTGCCCAGTACAATACAGAAACATAGCTGCATGCAAGGCGATTCTGAGATATTGCCTACGTGAAAAACACTTAGCTGAGCTATCTTATTAAACAATACAACATCTAGAAAACCCATTGTACACAGCACCAAGACATCTTTTCAATAACTGTATACCTCCAATGATAAATGACCCAAGAGCTCGGTCATTTTGACTGCCAACTCCGAGGCACAATTACATGTACAAGGAGCAGCAGGCGTGGCGGGGGAATGATTTTCATGCCTGCTGCCGACACTACCGCTCTTCTCAGCAGCTTTCTTGGTGTTCATTGTCTCGTTCTTCCTGCCGCGACTTTTGCTGCTTGCCGATGCCGATGAAGATGCTGATGACACCTGTGCACTCTTGTTCGTTCGTAGTTTCAATCCTGCCTTTTGCATCTGGACTGACATAAAATGTCACTGGACTATATAACAAATTTATGCACTGCTGTTGCCCAGTGATGTCTACAACTCCCCAATTTCTTGTCAACAGATTGTGATAATTGCTGTTTCCCACCTTATTTAGCAAAGACTCGGCAAACCTTACCTATGACACTGCTGCCTACAGATCAACTAATTAAGCTAGCAGCAATGGCAGAGGCTTAACTGAGAAAAGTCAGTCACATGGCACGCTCTCCACCTGCTATTGCTTTCTGCTGTTTTCCCATCAATGGAATTGTCAATAATTGGGAAAGGGTAGTCTTACCTAGGGTTTTCTCAAGTAGTTATCTTGTGATTTGATGTGCTTCAATTAGGCAGTATGGTACAAGTGAATGACTTGATTACAATTAAGTGGCTTGCCTGTAGTGAATTGGCAGCTGATACAAAAAAATCTTTCGGACAAAATTTCTTATTCCAATGACATAAATTTTTCCATTCTGTTCACTATCATGGATATGCCAAGAAAACCAATTGATCAAATTACCGCTAAAAGAGAAGTAGTGTTTTTTACTTCCACCATGATTGTGCCTATCAAATTCTAATATTTTTCAAGGAAATGAGTCAATAAAAGAGTGAAATGTCACAGAATATCAGGTGTTTTGTGCATACCACCTACAGTTTTTTCATCTTGTTTCTTGTACAAGAGTGGGGTAGAGTGGGGATTATCTTAAAACTACACAGTAAAGCTGGAAAATATACAGACACTGAACAAAATTAAAAAGAAATGTAAAAAAGAATCCCATCATGCTGATATTCAAAGGAACCTGCAGTTTTACCAAACAAAGCCACTCAGCAAATAAAAAGTAAATCAAAAATAGAATCGCTGTCCACATTTAAATCTAGGGCTTTGCTCTCTCAGCTACTCAATAAGACTGAAACAAAGATCTTGAATAAATTGCCACTGGATGCGTAAATGGCACAACAGTGCCCAACAGTGCACTGTCTTTATAAAATGGCCTTTTAAAAAGTATAAAAAAAGGTTCTTAAGAATGATAGTGGACAAGGTGTAAGTATGCCATCACAGTAAAGGTAGTCCTTTCTCTTTTGAAATATGAATATCATTCCTTATATTCAATCTTTTGTCATCAAACAAACAAACAAAAGAAAGAATTCAAGCTTCGGTTCATTTTAGGAATTTCCAATTGCTTCTTTAGAATATTTTACAATTCTTTCAGCCACCTTACAAAGAAAAGCACCAGACCAAGACAAATAATTCGAGAATGCACATTAGCCGTACCATGACAATTTAGAATTTGATGCAGTGTAAGCCCAAGCACAAACCACTGGAGTGGAAAATAAGTGAACATACCTGATAAGGGCAATCATCGATACAGATAAGATATACTCATGATAAAATATAGATATTTCACCAAATGCTGATTGCTACTGGACATATCATATATGCATAATCAAATATTTGAATTCTATTTATTTATTTAATTAAATTTAAGTATTGAATCCATAAGTTATTTTATTTGAAATTAAGTTATATCACAAAAAAATAAATAAATAAATAAATAAAAAACATGCTGCAGCCATCATGAGAGCAGATCTGAAATATGAATACACTAAAGCAGCTTTGAAAGTCAATCATAGCTATAACACACAGACAGGCATTAGTGTTTCATTACGTGTATCCAATACCAATATCCTACTAGTATACAGCTGATACAAACTACTATAGATTGTTCAAGAAGTAAAATACCAGGTGTGACTTTCCAATATCAAGCCAGTTGAAATCCCATGTTAAGAAATACATTATTTGTAATTCAGATTTTGAAAGTTTCTAAAATTGTAAGTAATTTATCATTAATTGGTATCAACTTTTTCACCTGACAGATATCTAATGGAAACTGGCATTTCTAAGCACGAAATTCAATCCAGTAGGGCTCACATAGAAATGTAAAAACAGTTATCAAACAAATCATCAAAATGATCGATTGCAAAAATCCAACTTATCCCCACTCACTTCTACAACCTCATGAGTTACAGCAACCTTAGGCTCTGGTTCCTTCCCATCCAGAGTTTTCCCCACGGTCATGTATCCTCCCCTTCTAACCTCCACAAAGATTGCCTCTGACATCCTCTCTAACCTAGACTAAAGACTGTGCGTCTCTTCAACCTCTGAATCCCATAACCTTCAACGCTACAGAGTCTTGAGGGAAAGTATCATAATTTTTTTTCTTAAATATTTTAAATTGCCTCATTACATTTTTATTTAGAAATACTCAATCCCCACTTTGTGAACCAGGCCTATTGTGTAACTTATGAAATATATATAACTTCAAATTTGTTCACCATTCACCAAAATTTTACTGTTTGATTATAATAAATCACAGACATTTTATCGAGGTTCCCGATAGCTTTTATCATCCAACATTCTGTTTTCCTCATAAGAAATGATTGCATCCATGTGACCAACTAAGCTGGCGAAACCAACAGACATCTGACCATGAAAATCAGCCATCAACACTGCTGTGTGCATGTGGAAAGAAGTTGTATAAAACAATACTGAGTGCCACATGATTACTAGTACAGAAAAAAAAAAATATGATGCAAATTTCAACAGTGTCACATCCAAGGGAAGTCTAAACAAAGACAGAAGGCAAATTATAATGGCCTTTCCTAAGGAGGATGGAAAGTTATGCAAGGCAAAGGTCCATTCGGCCATGATTCATCCACCTTGACAAGATGCTGGACCTGCATGAATATATACTGGTACTGAGACAATAAATTACTACACTTCAGTGCTCTCTTTTCAAATTTGTGAATTGTGGCACTTAAGGATGTGTGGGATGCATGGGTACATGAGTAAACTAGTATGCAGTATAAATTCTCTACGTGGACACTATGTGGGCAAATAACTATAATGATCATTAAGGTTGCAACACTTTCACTATTTCAAAGAGGCTGTCAAGTGAAGAGAGAGAGAGAGAGTGTTTAAAAGTGCAGACATGCTGAAAACTTTTCAGAATGGTCGGACATTTGGACCGGCAGTAATGAAAAATTTGCCGGACCGAATGGATTTTTGTCGTACCAAAAATCACCCTATTTGTTTGAGACAGATACTACCAGTACGATTAGGGTAGCTAACTTTGTTTGTGAATGTGATAGGTTTGAAATGGAGGGGAAAAAATGCTTTGGGTTTTATATCATTTTATTCGTGAAGTATGTCGAATGATGACTGTAAATTCAAAATTGCGACTCTTAAAACTCTTGTCGGTCTTTTGGACCGACCAAGTCCAATTTTTCACTGGTCCAGACAAATTTTGCTGGTCATTACCGATCGGACCGACAGTTTCAGCATGTCTGAAAGCGAGAAAAAGATATTAAAGAGGAAAAAATTATCTGGATTGATCCAAAGGGCAATTCCATCATACAAGGATTTCTGTATGACTGATTACTATTTGCTCACCACATGGAGTCAATCCAATACCTCCAAACTCACGTCTCGCATAATAATGGAGATTTCTTTTATTTGAAAAAAAAAAAAAAAATGCAATCATGCCATTTGACGAGAAAACATGACACTTAGAAAATCAAAACATAATAATCTGAATAATTTATTTCTAAAATTTCTTTTATCTTATACTTTCCACTGTAAAATGACCAGTTTGGCATAGAGTAAAAACCACCAGACAGATTCTTGTGAATTTCTTCACCTGTATGTCATATGGCAAATATGTCTGAGAGATTAAATTTGCCTTTATTTCATCAAACCTTTTGTCCACAAAAATCTAACTAGTAAATAATCATTCCAATACATACACCTTCCAAATAATAAGTCACAGTTTCTATTCCAATAAGAATTACAAAGGTTGATTTATCTATAGGTCCTACAACCTAACTCAAAGGCTGTCCCATTAGCTGGGTAAATAAAGCACACATCATTAAGTTAAAGTCACATGCTTTAACATCCGTGCTTGAACATCCGTCTGAAGATTTTAATCACTTTCATTTGTCTGAGTTAGTATACCCTGTAATACCCTGTATGGTAAATCAATCAAGTTCTATTTATTAATAGGGTGTGTACTGTTTATTCATACACCTTTCATTTAAAGATCTATGGAAACATCAGTCAAGTTCCTCTATGACCAGGTACTTACTGGGGTCACAAAATGCACTGAGAAATCTGAGGCTTCGAAGTGATGAAAGATCTACATTTTTTTCATAATAACAAAAATATCTGATCGAGTACAAAACTTATATGCTTATATGATTGCTTTTTGTTAAGTATATACTTTGCCAAAGTTAATAGTGTTTTCATGTTAGCCAATGTAGAAAACATTTGTCAAAAATGAAATTTAAGTACACATCTTTATTATAAGGAATGTGGCTTTAAAATCCAAGTAAGCATTTCAAACATTTTTTAGCTGTAAAATGGAATTTTTCTTGATATACTAGTACTAAGCAGCAAAATATGCTAATTTTGAATATTATAAATCATTACAATTTTATTTTTGAATATTACACACAAGTCAACAAGGCACATAAATAAAAGATAACTGATGCCTTTTCCTGACAATTCAAATTCCCCACCCATTGATGAGAGCTTTAGATGGCTCTATACAGTACTTTCACCTTGAGATGTTTGAAGTTTGTAAAAATAAATACCAGCAGGTTATCACTACCACGCAACCTATTGGTAATTATAAAAGTTTTGTAAGGGCAAAAGAAAGATAAAATCTTAATACTACTTTGAACGTGGGAAGGGCAGCAAAATACACATTGTGTTGTGTAAGCCGTAACCTTACAAGAACACGTGAAATCTGTCATGTACTCACGCAATGAGCACTGCAAAAGGGTCAGATAAAGACACTAACATATGAATGGACAATAAAACAAAATTTACTGTAATGCAACACTGACTCTATAAGGTAATAACATTGAGATAAGAAATCTAACACTATAAACTTACCTTTGTTTGCCCTTATCGCAACAGCAGCACTATGCAACTACCCAAAAGCCGGCTGATCACGTGACAAATCTGTGGTTTGGAATATAGAGGGCAGGAGTGCACAGGTGCTTTGAGTAGTTTAACAAGACAGCCCTATTGTTGTTGAATCTACAAGCGAGGTGAGCAATCACTCTGTAGTTTTCTCGAGTTTTGGGTGCTTGTACCAGCTCCTCGAAGTATTATTCATCATAAGCGAATAATAAGGTAGGTAATACACTAGAATTGATAAAATATCACGCGTAATGACTTTGTGAAAACTTTTTATCTTGGTTTTGCTACGCGTTAAGGCTTAAGCGTGCACTTGACCAAGCACTGTCGCGGTCCTGTAAACCAACATAGAAATTATAATAGAGTGAGTCATTTTGCAGTTCAGCGTTACCGAGATTAATAAAACTGACGATATAATGTGAAAGTACTTAAACAAAATTCCGATTCTTACCATTTTATGATTTTTTGCTGTAGTGTAGTTTAGTCGATGGTGTGTGGTCAGCTACTCCAAATATTTGGAACTCTCTTCAGCACAGGGTAACGTTACTCGTAGCTAAACCTTGTGCTAAAAGTTTTTAAGTAACGGTTAGTAAAATTGCATTAATACATAAGTCTCTATGAAAAAGATACTCATTAAAGATTGATGAGCTAGCTTTTATTTATGTGATTTTTTTTGATAAGCTGGCCTTGTAAAATATGTTCAAATATCAAAATGTGATACGATACGGCTTTTAAGTCTTACAGAGGAAGGGAGCAGAAGTAGTATCTTAATGAAACAGATGGGATAAGTTTGAAAATAAAACCGACAACAGTCAATGATTTGTGAAATTGTTTTATTATGGCCAACAGGTTGTGGTCAAATTTTGTTAGATATAAAAAGGGAAATGCTGTATTTGCCATAGCCCCTCTCCCCTACACACACACATACACACACACACACACACACTTTAACAATTGTCTGGTTATGAGGGAGCATTTTTTGCCAGGAAATTTTTGAGGTACAAACCTGCTGAAACGGAATTTAACAATTTACCGTTGCACTGGATCAGACTTGAATATCCCTTTCATCAGCAGGTGTTCTGATTAAATTTGATTTGGCCACTCCCAGTAATTATAGATTAACTTAACTGACCTCAGATCAAATAGCCACAGAATGTGTAATCAGGAATTTGTACAACAAGATGTGGGAACTTCACAGAGTTGTACTATTATCTGAGTACAAACTTAATTTACACTTAAAATAGCAAGGGGTTATAAGGTTTTTCAGATTGTGTAATCTTAAAAATGTTTTGATACTTAAGAGCTCTCTTGGTAAAGTGGAATATTTCATCATTCCTAACTATTACAAATAGATTTTCTAATTTAAACACCTGTTTCTATTTAGTCCAATACATATTAATTTTTGTCTACAGTATACTAGTATTAGTACTGATTGTCTTTTTAAAGGCCATGTAACAGAGTTAATTAGTCCCCCACCCCTTTTGGTTTGTTTTATGTCTGACTGTCTGTGTGGGTAGATCAACATATGTGTGGTTTTTATGTGAAGAGGCTTGTTTAAACACATAAACCACACTTAAGATTCATACACATTTGTTTTATGCTGTTACAGGACCATTTGACTAGTATATAGCTTAAAAGGTTTTAGATATTCTAGAGGGAAAGCTCTAAGTTGATGAATGTCTCTATCAAAGCACATGTAAGAGCTGAAGTGGCTAGTTGATGTTTGCTTTATCTGTACTCTGTGTTTTCTTGATATGTCCAAGAAGACAACACAACTATTGTTTTATTAACCTGAAGTGGCTTTGCCTATTGCATTACATCTGATTTTATAAAGTTAGCAAAAATGTCTCCATAAAGCCACATCCTAAACTGGGGAGATGTTTTCAGTGGTAGAATGAATGTCATGGACAGCTGGTCTTTGATTTCTTCAGATTTATGTTTAAATTTGACTATTAAAAACTTTATTGATCTGTTTGAAACTGTTTGGTAGTCACCTCTAATCTTCAGTATCATCATCATGTCAGTATAGAATATTGGGAACTGCAGATGTCCAATGCATGCTGATACTAGTGGGTCATTTCTAGTGACCTCTGAAAATCAGGTTGATGATGGTGAATGTGATGTGGCATCTAGAATTGCAGACACTATGTAAAGGAAACCACTGTGGTATGCCTCAGCTATCAGCCTGGTACACCTACTTATAGACCAGACCATACCTGCCACAAGGCTTATTTGTAAATAATTGGTTTTGACAACAACACGTGATTTTCATTCAGAAAAAGTTTATAAATAAGTTATTTGGTATAAATAAATACCTAGGATGGAGGGAGGAAAATATTGACTTTTCTTGTCTGTCCAGTTCCCAAACTACAGAAATAATTTACATTGGCTATTCTTGATGCTCAATATTTGATGCTTTGTAACTGTTATAGCAGGAAAATAAGGCATTTAGCTATTTGTGAAAAAGTTATGCTAGAATGACTCCGGTCTTTGTATTTGCAGAATAAGGGGAAAAAAAGAAAAAAAATCTCTTTCAGTATATTGCAGAACTTAACAAAAAATAATAAACATTTTTTTTTTTTTGTCACAAAAATCATCTAATGAATTTGCATTTATTTATTTATGCTTAAAAATTGTCTCTACAAATAGAAAAAAGTTGAAAAAATAATCAGTACTTTTAAGATCGTTTGTTCAGCATCTTTACTGCAATTAAGTCACAATCAGCTGGTGACTTTCATTTTTGTGCCCTTAGACATATAATGGGGTATTGATAAAGATTCAATTAATTCTGAGCATGCCTATGCCTCAATATGGTTTTATGTGAGTTCACTTCATCTTGGAAAAATGTGAACCACTCCTTTTGAATTAGGTCTTTTTGTCATTATATCTTATGAATTCCAAAGCTTTTAATAAATTAAAAATAAGTATTTCGTCATTTTGCAAAGCTATCTTGATACAGTTGATGTGTGTTTTGTTGTTTGTAGCATTATTTGATTGGTTGGTTGGCTGCATTTGAATACACTATAGGAAAAGTTTAATTTTTGTTTTTTAAAAGAAAAGCTTAACTTCACCAATGTACAAGTAGGAAGTATTCTACATAAGTGTTCTTAGTGTGATTTTGCATATTTCATCCTGCTTGCCATGAATTATCCATTATTTTGTGTGTTTTACCAGTAAACTTTTTGAGGTTTGCTGATGGACGGATGCCAATCAGAGTAATCTGGATGTCCATCTACCACACACACTGTCTTAAGTTACATCCACTTTTCTATCTGAACATTATACATGCAGACACTTTCATACGCACACTTTCGACCCTCTTATCTCTGGCCCTTCTCCACTTCAGAAATGAGGAATGAGACTAGGTACTCCTACTGTTTTTTTAAACTCTATTTTGCATGCAGATTTTCCACCAAGAGACCTCAATTTGTTTGATTTACTGCCAGCAGTTTTTGTCATCTCTTCTTGATCTTCGGGCTGTCATCTATTTCTTTGTGAGTAGTTCTATTTTTGTAAGTTCATAGTAGTACTTTGATATATGATAAACTTCAATTTATTTGTGTACAATTTTCTAATAAAGTTGTTGTATTTAAAGATTTTAAGAAACTCCTCCTTTAAAGCAGATGATGTGTTAATTAACTGATTAATACATTTATTAATTTATGTAATTCTTGCCCAATTGATTTAAATGCCAAATTATTCAGTCTTTTAATTAGTTTTATTGTTAGTAGACTTTCACTGGACAATATGAAAATGAGAATGAAAATCTAAACAAATATATCAGAAAGCTAGTAATCGTTTATGAGCAATGACATCAAACGAGGACAGATTGAACATTATTTTATTATTGAACTAATGTGACCATTGAGACCATGCAGACAAACACTAATCTGTTTTGATGCACTTAACCAGAAAGAGCTTTGCTGGGAGTGTCTGTTTGTAAAAAAACAGTTCTTCAGGCCCAATGCAAGGCAATTCAGGAAGAAACTCTTGATTTCCGTTGGCATGAGTCAATTCAAGAAGAGGTGATCAGCTTGTCAAGAAGTTTTTTTTTCAATCTGGTTTTTGAAAATGAAACTTAGACCCTAGCATTTGTTAATTGGGCAAAAAAAGAGTGTTATATCACTTATGGTAGCAAATAAGAAATATGTGATTTCACTGGGTGCATCTCAGTCAGTTTTCTGGAATATAAACCACTTTTCATAACTGTATCAGTTTACTTCCCAATATGTGACATAAACTACCAAGAACCGCAGAAAAAAATCTGGAGTCTAGAATAATTCTACGCATAAACAAATCAATATTTCAATGTATTCTATTGCTGAAATTTTTATTAACACTGGAATTATGTAACATAAGGTAGGTTTTCGTCTCACACCCTTCTCCCCTCAGAAAGAGTAGCCCCAACTTGCCTACTCCAGCAGAGGTCAGGTCAGTTGATATTATTCGTGCAATAGTAGGCTGGAACAGTCAGAGGCAAGGAACTCTTACGCCACTCCACAATACTCCGCAGGACGGATAGGTCTATTACTCCACAGTTGAAATCCCATTCAGGTTTCAAGAAGGTGTATCATCAAACTGAACTTTGCATTTGGGATCTTAGGTAAGTTGAAGAGAATTGAAATTGTAGATGATGGCACTTGTGCTAGGAATGCTGGATAGATAGGGTGACAGGGGGTTTCTTAACCTGGGAGAATGCTACAATCCTGATATTGTAACATTCAGTCTTGTTAAACATTTTCTCTCTGAAAATGGAGGATCATATTCGTGTCAGATATAAATCACAGGCTCATGGCCAGTAATTACAAAGGGAGATGCATTTTCTGAAAAAGTGGATCCTTTTGCCATGAAATTTGTTCATAACATTGAACCCAGATCAAATTTTGATCAACAGTGGGACTTTACTTGTCGAAAAGGGCATTTTGTTCAAACCCCAAACTCCACCCCCACCCCACTGCCTACGGACCCCACTGTAACAGGACAGATGAAAGTTGAAATTATGTGCACGTTTGAAGTCCAGGAGCAGAGTTAGAGTAAGAAACAGTATCCCATAATATGTTTTTGTCAGTAAATGATGCAGTGGCTTTTAAGTAGCGAAGTTGGATCTTGAAATTGGTGTAAAAACTTGTACCACGTGCTGCTGACATGCAATTGTCTGTCATGTGCTTTTAAAGAAGAAACACAGAGGATATATAATTGAGAGAAAATAAAAACAGAAGGCCTGGCAGTTCAGTAGTTTGCTTTGCAAAGAGAGCCTTGTGAATAGGTGCATCAAGTTTGGCTTGTGTAAGTACTACCCAGTATAGGTTGACTATTGTGTTGTAGGGATAATATTTGTGTAGGTGTTTTCTTGCACTGATTTCGACTGTCAGCAATCTTTTATATGTGAAACTTGATCAGTCAGTAGGTACTGTCTCCATCAAATACAGCAGTATGTGAGGTCATGTAAATTTGTTTGTAAATATAAATAGTGTGTATGCAGTAGTCGTTAGATCTGTGTCTGTGTAAAACAGTATTCAGTCTTTTGCACAGAGATCAAATATAGTTGACAGTTTGACAGTTTAAGAATATCCCATGCAATATGACTGCCAGAACACATAAAGACTTTTCTGATAATTTTAACAAAGCATTTAGAATTACATTGTTATTTTTATGTATTTTTTATAAATATTTTCTTATCATATGAATCAAATTTGCCATGCTGATTAAAAAAAAAAAAAAAGCTGGCACAAGAAAATTGGACTCTTGTAAAGCATATTGAATACCAGTTCAGTGAACAACTGAGAATAGGGATATACACGATTCCCAGCTCAAATTTCATGGTCTGTAACAAAAAAGTAATTTTATGAAGAGACTGGAGTCTGCTAGCAGATCTTTGGACTAGACAGGAGCACAAAGATCGTGAAATGGTGATCTTACGGTTCTTTGTGGACACCATACTGTGCCCAGTCACAGTATGTTTAGCAGTAATGATGGATGTCACATGGGCCTCTAAGTTCAAGTTGTTTGGCCACTTTGATTAGTATGCAGAGCTGGTATATTTTTCTCTTTGTCAAAAAAGGGGGAAAAATTGGTGATAAGATAAACCTTTTTAATCTGGTATTTTTGTCAAAAAAGCTGAAGGATAAGTGATAACAGACTTTTAATGTGGGCTTTAGAAAAGAACAAATTAGTCAACATGTTGTTATATGGTAGATGCAAAATTATTCCCAATGAATATATTGGCAAATCCTTTTCTTTACTCATTCATATTTTGGACTTGGCTTTTTTAATCTCAGGTTAGGTGTTCCAAAGAAAACACTAAAAGCATTGCTTCTGCATTCCTACTTGATGGAAGTTCATTCAAAATTGTGAAACAGATATCAACAGTGAACAAGTGGAATGCCCACTGGTGGTTTCAAGAATGAACAGGGTGGACATTACTCTTACTAGTAGTCTTAGGATTGTCCTCCAGGGAGTCCATGCCAGCAAATCACAAGCCGTGGCAACTCCCCTTAATTGAATGCAGTTAGTAACTCTTACCTCATTATTTGATTAAGCATATTATCCAGGTTAATCTCTTGGGATTAAGCTTGATTGTTTTGGAAGGTGTGAATGACCAATGTAGATTTTCTCTAAGCATTATGCCCAACCCTAATTGGCTCATCTGGGTGACATGGGGATTGTTTTTCACCACCCAGCTTGCCAGGAATTCACTTACGGCTTTCCGTGCAATTTTTGAATTTTTTTGTCAGAAGAAAAACAACTAATTAAAGTCTAGTGTGTTTTGGCAATTGAATCTCATGCAAAAACCAAAGGCAGTTTTTTTAACCTAGATCATCTTGGGTCATTTGTCCATAAGAAAATGGCTAATTGTTAAAAGTGTTTTTTTCATTTTTTGCTATGGTATTGTGATACACAAAATGAGAAAACATATCAGCAGCATTCTTTTATTCTACCAGGCAAAAAAAAAAAAGGTAATAGAGGCAAGTGTGTCCTGAATTATCAGAAATGGAAATATTTTGCTGAGGAACTAATGACAAAAGGAAAGAAATGAAAATGGCAAATGTGAATTTTTTGGAAAACGCATATTTCAAGACTTTGACCCTTAAAAGACTCCAGCTCTACACCATCCCATTATATGTCACCTGAACCTCATCCATACTGACCACCTAATAGATTTATGTCCATGCTATATATGCTGCCAAGAGCTCTTATCCTTAGTTTCCATAACAACAACAGCTAAGTGGTGTTGACAGTGTGGAGTACAAATATGAAGTTGAGAGTTTGCTGGCAGCGTCAGGGAAAAAAGGAGTATGATTTCAATAACTGTGTGTTGAGGGAGACAGATGGGGTGGATTTTGGTCCCTCTTGTCTATCTTTTGTTAACAGTTCTTATTACTTTTTCACTGTGTGCAGTCTTAAAAAAAGATATCTGAATTTTTTTGAAATGGGAAAGTTACTATTAGTTTAAGTTATTAAGAGTTTTTCCTCTTGTATGTATTTTAAATAGTAAGCTATAGTATATTTTGACCTTTGGACGTTGCATTTCTAGTCCACTTGTTACAGGTTAACCTGGTACCAGATACCACCTCAGCAGTTTAATTTCTAACCACAAGGAGGCAATCCAGTCCCACTGTTGTCCAGCCTATTGCTGTGAACATGTGTATTTATCTTAAACTGAAACACCATATTTTTGGGTCTGAAATTATAAAACAATTTTTAGACATAATCAAGCTCTTGTGAAAACAAGGCAGTTGTTTTAACCTAGATCATCTTGGGTCATTTGTCCATAAGAAAATGGCTAATGTGTATCACAATACCATAGCAAAAAATGAAAAAAACACTTTTAACAATTAGCCATTTTCTTATGGACAAATGACCCAAGATGATCTAGGTTAAAACAACTGCCTTGTTTTCACAAGAGCTTGATTATGTCTAAAAATTGTTTTATAATTTCAGACCCAAAAATATGGTGTTTCAGTTTAAGATAAATACACATGTTCACAGCAATAGGCTGGACAACAGTGGGACTGGATTGCCTCCTTGTGGTTAGAAATTAAACTGCTGAGGTGGTATCTGGTACCAGGTTAACCTGTAACAAGTGGACTAGAAATGCAACGTCCAAAGGTCAAAATATACTATAGCTTACTATTTAAAATACATACAAGAGGAAAAACTCTTAATAACTTAAACTAATAGTAACTTTCCCATTTCAAAAAAATTCAGATATCTTTTTTTAAGACTGCACACAGTGAAAAAGTAATAAGAACTGTTAACAAAAGATAGACAAGAGGGACCAAAATCCACCCCATCTGTCTCCCTCAACACACAGTTATTGAAATCATACTCCTTTTTTCCCTGACGCTGCCAGCAAACTCTCAACTTCATATTTGTACTCCACACTGTCAACACCACTTAGCTGTTGTTGTTATGGAAACTAAGGATAAGAGCTCTTGGCAGCATATATAGCATGGACATAAATCTATTAGGTGGTCAGTATGGATGAGGTTCAGGTGACATATAATGGGATGGTGTAGAGCTGGAGTCTTTTAAGGGTCCAAGTCTTGAAATATGCGTTTTCCAAAAAATTCACATTTGCCATTTTCATTTCTTTCCTTTTGTCATTAGTTCCTCAGCAAAATATTTCCATTTCTGATAATTCAGGACACACTTGCCTCTATTACCTTTTTTTTTTTTTTGCCTGGTAGAATAAAAGAATGCTGCTGATATGTTTTCTCATTTTGTGTATCACAATACCATAGCAAAAAATGAAAAAAACACTTTTAACAATTAGCCATTTTCTTATGGACAAATGACCCAAGATGATGAAAACAACCCCACAGTCTGGTACTAGTATATTAATAAGCAATGCATCATTATACCTTCTCTTCACTAGTTCAGAATAGATTCAAATTAGGCCAGGTCTGATTATGGCCATGAATGATATATATTTTATACAGTTGTAAAATCCACAAAGGACAGCAGGGAAATGACTCACTGCATCATCAAATGGCACTGATATAGGACTACAAAGACTTTAAACAGAAGAACTGCTCTTTAATGTGCATGGAAATACAAAGTTGATGCGAGGCCAAGGTTAAAATAATCTCGCATGAAGATAATGACAGTCATATTTTAGGAGTTTGAAGTAAAATGCAAATTTCCTGGAAATTGTATCTGCTACCCATCTGAAATTGTGAACTGGTCAAATCCTTTTGTCATGGCAAGCTGGCATGCTCCCTGTCAGGTCTAAATTGACCAGCGTTCCTGATAAAGCATGGAGTGAAAATAGTGCACAGTGTGGATTGTATGCCAAGCTGTCATAAACATTTGGACTAATGGGAGATTTGATATAACCAGACAATATATCTGCATTTTTGCTATTTGTTTCAATTTTTTTAAAGGGACATATCTCCACAATGAATCATAGCAACACTGCAAAGTTAGTGGGCCAGGGAATGACGTGTTTGTTTCAATTAGGTTTTATAACTAAGTAGTTCATTGAACATACAGAGTCATTTCAGATAACTTGTATATTAGAGTGCATATAATGATGTGAAATGATCATGTAGTATGAAATGCCCATTTGTCAGTAAAACCGCACATTATCAGTTAGCTATATAGTAGACCCAGGGTAATAGATGTGTGTGTTGTGACATGTAATAGATTTCCACCATCGGGAAATCAATAATAGTGTATTTGTATTAACTTGGTGATTCACAGTTTGATAAGAGGAGGAGGCAAGTTATGAAGTACATTGGATGAGGTTATTGTAGCATGCGTTAATTTGGTGTTCTGTAGGCTATTTCATAAAAGAACTTAAGCCCAAAATTAGGTCTGAACATTAAGACCACAGTTTTAGTGCATTCTTACCTAAGATAATTTACTAGTAGTCTATTTAGATGATGTATTGTGTCTGTTTTATAACCAGAAAGACATTCCTAATGATTCATGCTATGAATTTATCTTGAACTGAGTTAGACTAAATTTTTGAGCTTAAAGTTCAGACCAATTTTTTGGCCTCAGATATTTTGTGAAACTCACCCGTTTGCATCTGTTGTGTACCACCCTCCCCAACCCACTCTCAACTTTTCCAATGCTCGTCAGGGAAACAAGTCTTCAGAGAGTAAAAGATTGTGAATCTGCAATGTTAGAAACCCCAGGATTAAAATAGCCCTGTTTCCCTTATTGTTTGGTTAAAAAGCAGACTTAAAATATGATATAGGTTGTTGGAAATTCTTAATTTTCTTATTGCATGGTTGAGTCCTCTCCAAGACAGTGACAATATTGTACTCTATGATTGATAGATATGGCACAGTTACTGGGACAGCAGGACTGTTTTGATGACTTGATTTTGTAAGGGGTGAAAGAAGCATGCAATATTGTACCAGAGATTTTGACATATTGTTTTTTGTTTAATTTTATTTGCATGGTGAAGATGATTTGAAAAATTTTTAAGGAGAATCATCAATTGTTTATTTTTTGTACTTATAATGAATGTATTTATTTTTCGTGGCCATTCTTTTATGTCTATGCTTCAAATATTTTTCCAAGAATAATGCTAAAGAAAAGCTGCTTTACAAGTGCAGATTTTATTAATACCTTCATCTTATTTTCCTTTTTCACAAACTTTACTGTTCATAAAAACTATTTTGATGCAGCGGTTATTTAAGTGCACATTATACACACACAACTATGTAATAAACATTTTTTTGTGTTTTTGCAGGGAGACATGGAATGCAGCTGCATGAGGTAGCAGAGCAAAAAGAATAAATAAAAAGCCACATACCAGGAGCATTATACTATTATATCATCAGGGTGAGAGAGAAAGAGAGAAGATGGAGAGGTTGACGCAGGCAGGAGTCATCTTCCTCATTCTCCAGAGCCTGCTCATTAAAGGTGGGAGGAGGTAAGTGATGGGGGATGTATGCTGAATTCATTCTCTGCTGAACTTGTTTCAGACATTGAAGAATAAGCAACTTGGCAGGCTACTAATTGGTTCAATTTTTTTTTTTTTCGTGTTTGAGCAGGATGCTAAGATTTTATGCTGTACTTGTTGGGGGGGGGGGGGGGAGGAAAGCGAGACTGGTTATGGTTCAATGATAAATTAAAATTCGAGAACATTTGATTTGGAAACAGAAAGAGTGTATGTAGCCAGCCCATTTCATTTCCATATTAAATGGAGTAGCTTAACAAAATTTATGTATTTTACTGACCAGAATGTTTCCAGAGTGTTTTTCTCTTATGTCTTAATGGGCAGATTCCTAGGAATCCAGCTCGGTCCTTCCTGTCAAATAGACAACTCCCACTCCAGTTTTTTTTTCTTCTACTCAGCATGACTGTGGCCTCAACAAGGCAAATTAACTTGAAAATTTCAAGTGTTCAGAAGCAGAATTAGAACTTGAAAGTCAAACAAGCTGGCATGATTAATGAGTATGAAATACCAAACTTTCAAGATCAGCCTTGCCTCTGCTGCAGACTTGAGAACTGCAGTTTGATGCATGTTTTAAAATCTTTTTTGAGTCTTCCAAAAAGGTAACTGGTTTATGTTCTTACTTATGTGCCCATGGCAAAGTAAGAGGGGTATAAACTTAGTTGTTTCATGCCACTGTTTTAACAACATTAAAATGTTTCAGAACTAGGATAACAACAGCTTAAAAATTTTCTTCATCCATTTTATCTTTGCAAGAATTATATACTAGTAAATCATATTATCCAACAGAAAGACTTTGTACAGCATTCCTTCATGTATTTGCACATTTGCTGTTGCTAAGTAAAAACCAGCTGATGGATGTTTTATGTTTGGATCTACACATCTTTCATGGTATTTACCCATTATTTCTGACACTCTGCCACCCATTTTGAAGCACTTCACACAACTGAAAGAAGAATGCTACTGCATCTTTAGAGATTTCACTCTAGTCATGCTGCAACATGTCAAGTTGCAGATGTTATAGTTGATGGTGTGGTTTTAGAACCACCTGTTTCTTCAACTATTCCATATATTTCCTTTGTCAAAAAAAACCTTAGATTATGTATCCTGCTGTTGATGTTACTTCACATGTTATCTTGAATATCAGACTACTTTTTATGAAATCCAGGCAGAATATATTGAGGCACACCCAAGTTTTACAGTGATAAAAGTGGTTCCAGTATTTGAAATTAGAGATATTGACACACACACTGATAAATGATAAGTCTGTAGTATTTGCAGGAAAAAATGAATTGAAACCTACCAGAATCATATGTTTGAATCAGTCATTGGTTTAAATAAATTCCTCAGACTATACTGCTGTAACTCAACCGTTTATTTTAATGTTGTATGTGACTCTCATCTAATGGGTAGGTTAGAAAAAAGTAACATAGTAGATTCATGATGTGGCTATCCTGTATTAAAAGGACAGTGTCCAGGTCTCTTTATATGTACATGCTTTGGCCCTGTTGTCCTTTACTTGTCTAAAAGGCACTTTTATCTTTGAGCACCAACCATAAGTGCAGATGTCTGCAAGCTAGCCAGTCTGTATCTGTCTAAACTCCGTCATTCTGTTAACCCCCAAACCCAGTTATCAGCTCCTGGTTTTATTTTCTCTAAGACTATTTTAGCAAAATGGTGACATCTGTGACATGTTTTTTTTTCCTCTAAAAAATCATTGCATGTGATTATAAAGAAAGGCAGTCTTTAATATAATTTTTTGTTCATTTTTACTCTATTTTATGAGCCATTATGTATACACGTAAATTTCAAATTAAATTTCATTGCTGTGATCTACAACTAGGTTTCTATTTTTGATCGAGTTATTCAATCACTGTTGCTCTTTGTGGTCATTTTCGCATTTCACAGTGGCCGATTTAAATCATCCTCTTGGATGTTGTAAAAAAAGAAAAATAATTTGTTAAAAAAACAATGAAGTAGAAGCAGAGCATTTTTTTATCGGACAGGAAATCTATTTGTGATGGGCACATGTTGTGCTGGGGTGTATTTATTCAAGTTTCAGGTGTGGTGTTTCATGGGTCATTCATCTTGGCTAAACACTTGCCCTATTAACCTAAGAAGCTACAGTACACACATATACATATAGATGTAAACTACAAGCTCTTGTCTACCTTATGGTTTGTGTCCATGTGGTGTGTTCACACTTGTGCTGGTCCCATACTACACTCATCAGTGTGTTCACACGTGTGCTTCTCTCATACTACACCCATCATGTGGTGTGTTCACACTTGTGCTGGTCCCATACTACACCCATCATGTGGTGTGTTCACACTTGTGCTGGTCCCATACTACACCCATCATGTGGTGTGTTCACACTTGTGCTGGTCCCATACTATACTCATCATGTGGTGTGTTCACATTTGTGTTGGTCATCACTACACTCACCATCATCTAAAAATCATTAAAATTGGGACAGTATGAAGAAAATGGAAAGTGCTTGCTCAGTTTGAGTTTTATTTCATTGTGCTAGAACCCAACCTTCTGCCCTTAATATTATACTGCTATTTTGATATTCCCAGTGCAGAACAGGGACAGCCTTGGGCTAGTAAGGACCCTGTGAAAGAAAATTTGACAAATGCGTGTGGTCCAATATTGTGATTCTTTACCTGTGGGTTCAGTTCAGTAGTCATGTCAGTTGTGGTTTTGTATGTATCTGTAATTTGTTTAACATTACAAAACATATATCTGTTCTTCAGTTTTTCCCTTGTTTTTAATCTCAGCTTGGACTTTGGAAAGGCAGTTTACTTAACTAGTAGTTGTTTTTATCCCTGTGAAAACTAATCATATGATGGCTCCCACTTCAAGCCAAGAGCATGAAAACGTTTTCTTTAATTTAATCTTATTTTCAGTTGTGGTGTTTCTACGACATATGTGAATGACTATGAATACTAATGAATAGTAAATATGTTAATGCACCTATACCTCTGACAATCACAAAGACGAGACTTTTTTCCCTCAATTGCAAAGACGAGACTAAGGCTTCATTCACATGCAATGTCTATTTTCTAAATTCTATTTTCTATTCGCGCTATCTTATGATCACGGTCTGTGCCCTGAATATCCCGCCGCGTAATTACTGGCAGCGCGAGCCAGTTACTTATAGTAACTTATAGTAACTGGCTCGCGCTGCCAGTAATTACGCCGCAGGATATTCAGGTCACAGACCATGATCATAAGACATACCGCGAATAGAAAATAGAATTTAGAAAATAGACATTGCATGTGAACGAAGCCTAATTTTTCCCTCTTGTTAAATTAACATTGATATAACTTTTTTTTTTTGCTGTTAATGATGTATAATTTTCCAATTTCAGTGAAATGCCCTTCATCACAGCCCACGCCTGCGAGGGTTCCTACTTGGACCTGAAGTGTTCGAATGAGACCCTGGTGCTGCACATTATACGGGCCAACTATGGCCGCTTGTCCAACTCAGTGTGTAANTCTATTTTTGATCGAGTTATTCAATCACTGTTGCTCTTTGTGGTCATTTTCGCATTTCACAGTGGCCGATTTAAATCATCCTCTTGGATGTTGTAAAAAAAGAAAAATAATTTGTTAAAAAAACAATGAAGTAGAAGCAGAGCATTTTTTTATCGGACAGGAAATCTATTTGTGATGGGCACATGTTGTGCTGGGGTGTATTTATTCAAGTTTCAGGTGTGGTGTTTCATGGGTCATTCATCTTGGCTAAACACTTGCCCTATTAACCTAAGAAGCTACAGTACACACATATACATATAGATGTAAACTACAAGCTCTTGTCTACCTTATGGTTTGTGTCCATGTGGTGTGTTCACACTTGTGCTGGTCCCATACTACACTCATCAGTGTGTTCACACGTGTGCTTCTCTCATACTACACCCATCATGTGGTGTGTTCACACTTGTGCTGGTCCCATACTACACCCATCATGTGGTGTGTTCACACTTGTGCTGGTCCCATACTACACCCATCATGTGGTGTGTTCACACTTGTGCTGGTCCCATACTATACTCATCATGTGGTGTGTTCACATTTGTGTTGGTCATCACTACACTCACCATCATCTAAAAATCATTAAAATTGGGACAGTATGAAGAAAATGGAAAGTGCTTGCTCAGTTTGAGTTTTATTTCATTGTGCTAGAACCCAACCTTCTGCCCTTAATATTATACTGCTATTTTGATATTCCCAGTGCAGAACAGGGACAGCCTTGGGCTAGTAAGGACCCTGTGAAAGAAAATTTGACAAATGCGTGTGGTCCAATATTGTGATTCTTTACCTGTGGGTTCAGTTCAGTAGTCATGTCAGTTGTGGTTTTGTATGTATCTGTAATTTGTTTAACATTACAAAACATATATCTGTTCTTCAGTTTTTCCCTTGTTTTTAATCTCAGCTTGGACTTTGGAAAGGCAGTTTACTTAACTAGTAGTTGTTTTTATCCCTGTGAAAACTAATCATATGATGGCTCCCACTTCAAGCCAAGAGCATGAAAACGTTTTCTTTAATTTAATCTTATTTTCAGTTGTGGTGTTTCTACGACATATGTGAATGACTATGAATACTAATGAATAGTAAATATGTTAATGCACCTATACCTCTGACAATCACAAAGACGAGACTTTTTTCCCTCAATTGCAAAGACGAGACTAAGGCTTCATTCACATGCAATGTCTATTTTCTAAATTCTATTTTCTATTCGCGCTATCTTATGATCACGGTCTGTGCCCTGAATATCCCGCCGCGTAATTACTGGCAGCGCGAGCCAGTTACTTATAGTAACTTATAGTAACTGGCTCGCGCTGCCAGTAATTACGCCGCAGGATATTCAGGTCACAGACCATGATCATAAGACATACCGCGAATAGAAAATAGAATTTAGAAAATAGACATTGCATGTGAACGAAGCCTAATTTTTCCCTCTTGTTAAATTAACATTGATATAACTTTTTTTTTTTGCTGTTAATGATGTATAATTTTCCAATTTCAGTGAAATGCCCTTCATCACAGCCCACGCCTGCGAGGGTTCCTACTTGGACCTGAAGTGTTCGAATGAGACCCTGGTGCTGCACATTATACGGGCCAACTATGGCCGCTTGTCCAACTCAGTGTGTAATGAGGAAGGCAAGGCCTACAGTACTGACTGTTTGTCTCCAAGAGCAGTGAGAATAGTCCGGCAAAGGTACATGTTATTTTTTTTGGAAGAACTTTTTAAAGCAGAATTGTTACACTTCCTTTTTTTATCATGGCTACCAAGTACTTTGCTTATGATTATTAAGGTTTGTGTGAAGTTCAAACATTATCATATTCTACAGAGTTTGGCTGTTCACCGTTTCATCATTCTTATACTAGTAGGTAAAAATAGGATAAAAAAGAGAAAAAACACCCAAAAATACATAAAGAATAAGCTGTAGTTATAAAATAGCCATTCAGTTCACTCTTATACATGTTAGAAACCTTTTCCCCTAGAAGTAAAGACATTTATCACTATTTCCAACATATCCCTTAAAGGTTGCATGGTCTTGATATAAGCATTTCACTGTCTTTTAATGGCTTTTGCGTCATGCAAGAAACTCAAATAGCAAGCCAAAAAAAGAAAAAAAAGCACAGATAGTAAGTGGTATAATTCTCTCATAGAAGATGTTCATTTTTCTGACAGCCGCTTGATGCATCATTTTCTTTTACTTCTCATTATAAAGAAAGACAGTAAACCTAAATAGTGTTACTGCTTTAAATGAAGTATTACATTTACCATTAAATTGGCTGAGATTGAAAACAGGTTTGAAATAGAACATTTAACAAGGGGAACAAAAAAAGTTATAACCATATATCAGTCTAATGGTTTCTCCATGTTGAAAAGGCATTGAAAGTGAACCAGGAGACTAAATACAGGATGGCAGGGCTAATGGCATAAAGCCAGTCAACAAAGATGGCAATTTGCCATTTTTTTTCAACCAGAGCCTAAATGACTTCCTATGCTCATTCAAAATGATCCTACTTCACTTCCTCTGAGTAATTGGCTTAAAGATGTTTGACTTCACACAGTACTTTATTGCTGAATGACACTGTAATATATATTGTCACCTAAAACCGTTTCTGATAAAATAGAAACTGGGGGGCTCCAGTGTGAATTTTATGACCTGTTTCTTTTTAGACAGGTGTATTATACATACTACTTGAGTTTCTGTAACTGTTTTAAATCTCCAGTTTTTGTTTTGAAATTCTTAACTCTTTTTAATTCTTAGTGCTGTAATTCTGTTATAATGTTCTTTAATAATAGCTTATATTGAATAGATGTTGTTCTTAATTTTTCCTGAAACTTATGTTCCATTGTGTTGACATTAAAACAGCTAAAATCTGTTTTCAAAATTTTCTGTTTTTCATGTACTTTATTTGTTAACATTATCAAGAAATTATAAATTGATATGTGTTATATACTGTGCATTAATTTTGGTGGTGGTAGCATTTTATTTAAGGGTATAGGAGTGAAGAAGTAAGATGCATTACTGATAGTCAATACAAGACTGAAATTCTTCATGCTTAAAATATTCAGTTTTTCATGTGTTGGAAAAGAAATTCAAGAACACAAGCAGCAAAAAGATGATCAATTTCAGTGGGGATCAAGGGGAAAAATTATCAGTAATATGCATCTCTTTCCAGTATTTTCCAAGAATGGGGCATTGAAAGGTGACTGAAATCAATCCAAGTAGCATTTGGCACCAATATTTCACTCCTATGCCTTTCAGAACTCTTAATGAATTGTATGTTGGTGGTGGTGCTGCTGCAGTTTATTACTTGCTTTTTTCCTAGTGCCATTTTTAAACTTTATATACCTAGGTGTTACCGGAACAATTGCAGTGTTCCAGCTTCTAATGTCATTTTTAGTGACCCTTGTTCTGATACACTTAAATATTTGGAGGTTGAATACCAGTGTATCTTAGGTAAGGTGGAGGTGAATATCATATGTATAGCATCTTATGGGGCACCTGTGCATGGAGCATATCTATATACATATATGTGTACATATGTATATGCATTGGCTAGATTAGGTATATAATACTATTGTTTTTTGCCCTCCTGCCTGTGGAGGCCAGTTTCACAAGAAGGTTATAGCCTCTAAATTGGTCTTAATAAATTAAGACCAAAACTGAGCTCTACTTCAGAACAAGAAAAATCCATAGTAGGTCACATAAATTAACCATGCCTCCCCTGTTATAAAACACCATTTCATTAAATTAGACTGCTTATTTATTTTATGTCAAAATGGACAAAAAGTTTTCAGGCTATAGCACTGTTGTGAAAAAGACTCCAAATGATATGAATAGCCTGCTATGTCACGGTATCTGCTGCCAACTCTTATCAGGGCAAATTAAACACAAAAATTAAAGAACTTTTTTCTCTTTGTTAGTCTATGGTAAAGAATCTATCCGTATTTCTTAAAAAGAAAAAAAAAGCTGCTCAGAAATTTGAATTATTTTCCATTAAATTTGACTTTTTGTTAATAGACTAAAAAATGCCTTTTGTACCTAATTATATATCCCAGTTTGTTGTGAAAAAGTTCCCTTACATGCTCAGCATTGACTTGCACAGAAAAATTGAAAAGATCACAAGAAAACGGTAATTAATTTCCTCCTGTTTGACAGAAATGGTCGTGTCAGGAATTCCTATGCCATGAAAAATCAAAGTGCAAGTCCAACAAATTGAGAGTCAAAAGACATGAGTTTGTGCAGGTCTGCTGAGTTTGACATTTGGTGTGGGGAGTAGCAGCAGGTCTAGAGACATCAAGGCCTGTTCAGAAAGGATAATTTCTGGCAAAGAGCTGGCCCAATTTGTGTTGAAAGACTGCCTTTGCACAAGTAGAACCCGCTGTCAATTAAATCCATTGTCTTACAACACAATTTAGACCTATACCCAGCCTGAAATGGACCTTGTATGAATGCGGCTTTGGAACACCCTGAGTATTTGAGAGCTAAAGATGACTGCCCCTGTCAGAATATGGTGGGAAATTTCGGTTTGGGTATCAAACACTCAGGGTGTTATGGGCAGACTGGTATATCAGAGCATGGTGCATGGAAAAGATAAATGGCATGACTGAACTTGAGGTGATTGTGATTCTCTGGGAATGATGTGATATAAAACCTCAAAAAAGACACGACAAAAAGAAAGTTTCACATTAGATATGGCTCTAAAGAAAGGCAATTTTTTCTTGGCTGTTAGGCTGGCTGGTTATGGTTGAACAGAAAGATAATCTGCATGGTTGATCATAGGCAAATGATGTTCCTTTTGAACTTTTTTCTTTAATAAGAGAAACAAAACAAAAGAAATAAGTTTTAGCTGTGGCCCAGATGTAATATTCTGTGGGCGATTGTTGGTGTTCTGAGAAGTGTGTTGTCAAAGAAAAGAATTTGGTCACTATCAGACTTTGAAAGTAATTCATGCATCACTTGTACTGGAGGTGATGCCATCATGATATCAGGAACCAAAACATCGTCTGCCAGGCTGATATATGCCTGGTTTTTACCAGTTTGGAACAACACTGATGTCAGTGACAGCTGGTTCGTCTGATACATCACTGTTTTTTTTTTCCTACTAATTTCAAGTGTGTTGAAGATAATGAGAAACAGTCTCTTACTTTACAATTGCAGCAGGAAATATCCTGTTTCTTGCAGCACTGTATTGGCTTCTAATGGGATGCAAAATCACAAACTTTGGAGACAGATTTCCTAACTTTGTATCCTTTTTTCTTGACACATTTAATCAGTTCCATGCTGTAAATTTGAGCCAATCTTTGCTACTGTTGAGTCAGACTTACGTATTTTACATCAATTAAAAATGTCATCTAGACATAAATCCCAATTTTTTTCACAACTGTAGCACAAGTATATTCATGCCAAAATTGAGAAACACATTGCTAAAGGAAATTGTCAATAAGTTTGACATGAAAACGTATATCCATAGATATGCTTATTATGTGATACTCTCTATGGGGAAGTAAAAGTGAGTGAAAACTGTGTGTGGGAGAAATGAGTGGAAAGTTTTACATTATTAATTCTGTGGCATTAGTGACACCATATGTCACACTAGACATGGGAATGCTGCCAAGTTGTTGTGGAGCCATGGTGGTCTGGTGGTCACAAAAAAAAAAAAAATGTCATCCCATCACCCACAGACCAGTCACGGGCATGGTCAGTGACCACCAATGGTCAAAAAAGCACCTCAAGACCAGTTGGTTAGAGTAGCCATTGATAGTGTTGTGTCTGTCACGTCAGAGTGAGTGTAAATCTTTCTCAAGTGGCAGTCTGTGGACTGCCTGTCAATATTGTGAACCAAATGATCCCTTTGACCAACTGACTTACTCTAATGGTCATTAACATAAGTCCCACTGGTCAGTCCAGTGCCAAATTGTGATGGGGATGACCACCTGTATTTAATGCTACCTTTATGGCTAGTGCTTGCACCTCGGTTGCCAGCTCAAAATTCAAAACCTAATTGTCAGTTGGTTTTTCTTAACAAACTGACCACACACTGACCACCTGTAATGAAGGCCATTTTAGTCTCAGGTGGTCAGATTTTGATTATCCTGTGGTCAAAGCAACCTAATGGAAGGGAATATGTACACAATGCCCTCCGATAATATAACAGTTCAGTATGTTTTGACCAATATTGGTTTGCAGCACCTTTTGCACTACTTAACTTCACCCAGCCAGACTTCTACGAATAATAATCACAAGCCACAGGCATTGGCAGGTTGCTGTTATCTTAGAAGGAATAAATCAGAGACAAAATAAATGTACTCCATATGAGGTGGGTCAGCTGAAAGTGTTTGTGTGGGGATATTATTTCTCACTTACAGGATGTTATGCTGTGAGGGTAAATTATGGTGGAAATGATACAACATTAAGGTTCCTATTATATACTGGGGGAGCTCTGTGTCTGGCTGGCTGTATATTTGGTGTCAAATTTTTCGATGCAATAATTATTAGACGAGNTAGAGTGTCGAGGGGGAATCTACATTTCAGAACATAGAGTCCGGGACCCGTTATTTCGAGACAGGGAGTCCGCCGGACCCTCAGTTTTAAAACACCGGGTCCGCCGGACCCTAGAATGGTAGGACTCTGTGTTGCTTGACACCGGTGTTTACCGTCTGGTTGATTTTATTTCATTTGCTCTCTGGTGTCTTTTTGAAAATTTATATTAGAAATGTTCTATTAATTTTATGTTGTAAAAAATTAATCCGTCGGAATTCCTTAGGATAACATTTATTTTACCTTCATTTTAAGGGGATTTCCATTGTATTTACAGTGTTATATTTGGCCCCAATGGGGATTTTTCACCACTCCCCCACTCTTGATTAATAAAATTCTTCATGGACCAGATTGAAAATGATATTGCAAAATACATTCTAAATCGTAGGAAGGTTAATCGCAGATAATGCTGCAAGGACATTCTTGTGCAAGGGCGAACTTGGCCAATATAATTTTTTTTTACTTCGTCTCCCGGTTTTGGAGCGCCTGTTCTAATTTTTGAAAGCGAGGCAATGGAACCAAACAATACGATGCAATATGAAATCTCGTAAAAATTGCTATTTTTAAATAAAGACTATAGCATGGAGTACATTGATAGCGACTCGTTTATTATTATGATCTTCAATAATAGTTAATATAAAATATACTATATAATAAGTTCTTGTTCCCGGCCTATTTATTAACTTAATTGATTTTTTAATATTTGGAGATTAAAAGCACAAAAGTTGTCTGGTTTCATATCGAGGCACCCTGTTTCGTTCGTGTGCTATGTAGTGTTTAGTAAACATTAATTTACTAAACAGTTACAGGTAAGTAGACATTACTTTGTCCAGAGGATAATAATTTCATCTAATTGTTTTGCTATCCAGAGGATAGTGCTATGCAGTGTTGAAGACACTTGGCCCAAGATGATACCAGATTAACACAACTAGTGAAACAGATCAAAGAAAGGGTGACGAGTGAATTGGTATTTTTTAAACAAGCAATTCCAGAATGACATAAAAATACCGTGTACCTAAACTATCCCCTTATTGCTATTTCATGGTCTCACCGGTGTTACGTCAGCTTACCGATACAGGCTTGCCACCTTTATTGGTTGATGAGTCAAGAACCCTAGAAAACAATTTTGAAATGCGATACTTCAGTCTAACATAGTAAAACCAACATCAACATCAGTTAAAGGGATAATAACTCTTTGTATGATATCTATATTTCACAATAAAAACATTGTGAGTAACTTATAGAAATATAATATATTCTGTTTTACCACAAAAACGGCAGTAATAGCTATTATTCTGATATTTGAGCTTGTCTTTAGACCACGTGACCTCCATTGATGGCTATACTCTGTTAAAATCTCTTAAGAGATTTTAACAAAAAACCAAACTTTTTAGAAAAAAAACAGGGACTTACTTTAAATGTAAAAATGGATTCATTAACCATTGGTAAGTATGGGAAAATTGTTGTTTACTCCAGGAAAATTCATATTTTGGCCAAAACGAAGAGTTATTATCCCTTTAAGTATTTAAAACGAATTTATTGAAATCGAGAAAAACAATCAATATTGTAGATTATATACAGATGAAGTTAAATTGAATTTTCTAAAATTTTCAACAATTTTTCAACCCTAAACTTATATGTACAAAATCTTGAAAGATAGTTACTGAAAATACATTTTAATAAACAAGATGGTGTTATTCACATTCTACATATTCTTGAATTTGTATCAATAGAATAGCTTCCCAAAGAAACTAATAATGAGTCATCAAGTTTCGATTGTATACAGGCAATTACAGACTTACGAAAATGGACTTAGACGAGCCCCGGTGAGACGCGTTTAAAAGGGAGAATTAAAAAAAACAACGGGCTAGTCACGTGGCATAGTCGAGTCGCCACTCCCATAGGCCCAATAGTCGAACCCTGCAATGTTCTTTCTTGTAAACTTTTTTTGCTGAAATGCATTATTCAGGCCGAGAGAAGCAAAATTAGCTTGGTTGCTATTTCCGAGACCTTGAGCATTTCTCAATATGGCCGTCAATTTATGAGGAAAAATAGAAAAACGACCAGAAGTTGCCGGGTAAACTTTATTGACAGCTTTTTTGAACGTGTATCCTATCAGGAGAGCACAACAGTACTAGTGAATACGCTTAATCGCGTACCACTTAGCAAAAAACCAAAATGGCCGTCAAAACATAAGGCTGAAAATGATAAAAGCTGTAGAATCAGTTTGTTTTTTGCATATTTAGTTTTATTAAAACCATATCCCCTTTTTATATTTATGTTAATTATAATATTTTGTTAGTCATGACCCTAAACTCTTGGAATTAGCTTATCTGACAGTTCAATA